GATGGAGGAGAGGGGCCTGGAAACTTTTACAGTTGTTACTCAAAAACACTCATGCAGCTCCTCCTGTGTGCCAGGCCAGGTGCCAGGAGCTGGAAGGAATACAGAGAATGAGCCTGCCGCTTTGGAATCTCATCTCCTGGAGGAAGAATAAGTTATCTACTTAGATATTCAATTTTAACTGGTATTTAATTACAGCCATACAAGTGGTTCCATTATTAGTCAGGATGAACTAAGTTTTGCTACAATAACAAATTTTCCCAGAATCTCAGTAGCTTAATGGAACAAAGGTTGGTTGCTTGTGAATGCTGTCTGTCCAACAAGGTGGTGCTCTGCTCCATATAGTCACTCAGGATTCAAGGCTTAGGCGATGCATTCTGGAACATGAGGCTTCTTTAGCCTCTGTAGTGGGGAAGAGAGACAAGAGACTCACTCACAAGCTTCTCTATCATACTACCTTATAATGGAAGTGTTGTTATTAGCCTTTTTACATCTGAGGAAACGGAGGCACAGAGGAGTCAAGTAACATGTCCAAAGTTTCACAGCAAGTGAGTAGCAGAACCAGGATTATGAGCTCCAGCCATCTGGCTCCAGAACCCCTGTTCTTGTCATGCTCTGCCATCTAATTAAACAGTGTTTCTTGGGAAGGGAATGAAGAGATGTCAGACAGGCCAGGGGCTCAAGGCACTAGAAAAATAATTTATCAGAAGAAGGAAAGTATGTCAGGGAATGACAGGGAAGGATAAATGAGCAAGGCTAGAATCCCAGAAAAATAGAGAGACTTCATCTTGGCTGGCAGAATAGCTTTTGCAAATTCTGGATTAGAAGCCTGGTTTAATCAGTTTGGGATGAAAGCTATAGAAAATGCAGACACAGGGTGGATCTTATGGATTGTGAAGTCAGGGAGGTCTGAAATAAAATAGAAATGGCCCAAGGAAACCTTTCATATTCCTTTTTGTTTCCATATACATCTGGCCACGAAAGCTCTTTGGTGGTTTATCCCAGCTCACTGCTTCCTTAGGGCTCTTTCAAACTCCTCGTATCTGTGGAAGCATGGATAAAGAGTACAGCAGACATGGGACACACCCGTGTTGCTTTCTGGGCATGCTGTAGGACGCCACTTTTTGGCTGTGCACCTGGAGCAGGAGGCAGCAGAGCAGCACCTAGCCCCCTGCAGGTGAAGCTGAAGACTGCAGCTGCAGCTCAGGAATTCCCCAGTAGGACAGGAAAGCAACCACAGGCAAGATAAGGTCAGAGAGAGCCAACTGTTTATAGCGTCCAAGCTCTTGCTGGGTTTGGTCCAGCCTATTAAAAGATAATAACCTCTTAAAGCATTTCAAAGGATGTGTTAGCAATGTTTAAGAGGAAACATAATTGTCACCACAGCCTGGGTAGTGTGCAATTGAGTAGGAGAACATCTTCAGGATAGGATGGGTTATGGGCAAGATTGTGCTGGGAGAAGGGCTGGTTTGAACTGCAGACTCCAGAAGCTACAGTGGCTGCCCAACCCATGAAAACACCCACAGATGCTATAACTGCTGGGTATAGGTCACCTATGAAATAAACCACTCATGCTGGGGTCTCACTTTCTAAGCCATTACCAGCTGCAAAGGTTGGCTTTGTGAAGACAAAGGGAAGTTTACTTTATAAGGATGTAGGCCATGTGGAGATATAGAATTATAGGAGCACAAAGTGCATTACTGACCTCACTGTTTTGCCGCCCGTAGAGTAGCTCGTCCTGCTTTGTGAGGCGTTGCTGTGAGTTGCCTTGAGGCAGGTTGGGAGGAAGAGCTGCCTGAAACCCTTTCTTGAGTCTTCTTTAAGGATGCTGATCAGGACCCATCTACCATGGGAGGACAGTGGGGATTCCTCCATGAGTCAGTGCTGAGCTGATCTGGCTCATTAAGAGATGCTTCTTACCACTGGGTTCGGTGGCTCACGCCTGTTATCCCAGCACTTCGGGAGGCTGAGGCAGGCAGATCACCTGAGGTTGGGAGTTTGAGACCAGCCTGACCAACATGGAGAAACCCCGTCTCTAATGAAAAAATACAAAATTAGCTGGGTGTGGTGGCACATGCCTGTAATCCCAGCTACTCGGGAGGCTGAGGAAGGAGAATCACTTGAACCTGGGAGGCAGAGGTTGCAGTGAGCCGAGATCGCGCCATTGCACTCCAGTCTGGGCAACAAGAGCAAAACTCCATCTCAAAAAAAAAAAAAAGAAAAAAAAAGAAAAAAAAATACTTCTCACAAAGAACTCTTTCTTTGCATCTCATGGATAATCTGAATTGTACAGCTGGCTGGACTACCTTCTTTGCCATGGCTGCTGGGGTGCCCAGAGCAAGTGGCCATGGCATGCATGCTGTTACCCAATTTTTCTTATAATTTCCTCCTTTGTTATTTATTCTGTTGTATTGTTTATATTTTGATAAGCTCACTTAAATTCATTTTGGGAGAAGGTGGGATCTAAACCAAGAAATAGATAAATATGTGTGCTTCAGAGCGTAGTCATTGTAGAGTCTATCCTGGAAAGAGTGGCTCCTTTGTCTGGGATGCCTTTCTGGGTATGAGGGATGGGTTCAATTCCTTCCATCCCTTGCTAGAAGTATGTAGTCTTTGACTGATGGATTCACTGAGTCACTGATTTGTTCTATGGACACTTATTATGTACCAGGCCCTGTGCTAGGCCTGAGGAGGGTGACGGTGACCTCAGAGCTATGTTCCGGTTGTGGGAGATAGGCAAAGACTATGTAAGTGGGCAGAGACACTAATTACACGTAAGAACCACTGCCTTGAAGGGAGAATGAGGATGAGGGTGTGTCTTTGGTGGGCTGCCATAGCAAAATACCATCTACTGGGAGGCTGAAACAACAGACACTGATTTCACATGCTCTTGGTGGCTGGAGGTCAGAGATCAAAGTGTCAGCAAGTTTTATTCTGAAGCCTCTTCTCTTAGCTTGTAGGCAACCGCATCTCACTGTATGCTAACATGACCTCTTCTCTGTGTTTGAACAGAGAGAGAGAGCGAGAGCGAGCTTTGGTGTCTTTTCTTACAAGGATGTTGATCTTATTGGACCCCATCCTTATGACCTCATTTGACCTTAATTATCTCCAAGAAGGCTTCATCTCCAAATCACATCACACTGAGACTTGGGGCTTCAACATAGGCATTTTGGGGTGGGCACAAACATTCTGCCATGACAGGGAGGGAGAAGATCTACTTCCAATAGGGTGACGCAGGAAGCCCACTCCACGGAGGGCAACATGCATGCTGGAATGGAAAGGATGAGAATGAGGGGGCTGTGGGAGAGGAGGGTGGGGAGGAATGAGAGGGCACGAGGCAGAGAGAACAGCCAGCACAAAGGCCCTGAGGCTCCCTGAGCAGCTGGTGTGGTTGGAGCTTACTCAGCTGTGGAGAGTAGCACAGGGGAGGATGCGAGATGGGTGGGGCAAGAGTGTGCAGGGCCTTGTAAACCAGCTATGGTGAGGGTTTCGGGTTTCCTACCACATCCAGTGCAGCGTTACTGAAAGATTGTAAGCAGAGGGATGTCATGATCTGGCTTAGGCTTAAGGAGCTGTGTGGACAGTGGGTTGGAGGGATTGGGAATGGAGGCAGGAGACTGCTTGTCAGTTTTGGTAAGAGGCTGGGACCGTGGTGATGGCCATGGTCTAGAAGAGAGAGTGGGGTCTGTTGATGGAGGAAATGTGACAGGGAGAGGGAGCACTCAAGGGCAACTCCTAGGCTCTAGGCAGAACATTTAGGTGCATGGCGATGCTGTTTACTGAGCTGAGGGAGTGTGGAAGGGAACAGAGACAATGTGTATGTAATGGGTAATTGCATATGTCAATTTGGCTGGGCTAAGGGATGCCCAGATAGCTGGTAAACATCGCTTTGGGGTGTGTCTGTGAGGGCATTTCCAGAAGATACTAGCATGTGAATCGGTAGACTGAGTAAAGAAGATTACCCTCACCAATATGGGTGGGCATTATCCAACTGAGGACCTGAATAGAACAAAAGGGCAGAGACAGGGCAAACTCACTCTCTCTGCTTGATTGAACATCTTCTCCTGCCCTCGGACATTGGTGTTCCTGGTTCTCTGGCCTTTGGGCTCAGACAAGGTGATATGGTTTGGCTGTATCCCCACCCAAATCTCATCTTGAATTATAGCTCCCAAAATCCCCACGTGTCATGGGAGGGACACAGTGGGAGGTAATTAAATCATGGGGCTGGTTTTCCCATGCTGTTTTCCCATGCTGATAGTGAATAAGTCCCATGAGATTTGATAGTTTTATAAAAGGCAGTTCCGCTGCACATGCTCTCTTGCCTGCCACCATGTAAGACATGCCTTTCCTCCTCCTTTGCCTTCCTCCATGATTGTGAGGCCTCCTCAGCCATGTGGAGCTATGAGTCCACTAAACCTCTTTTTCTTTATAAGTTACCCAGTCTCAGGTATTTCCTCATCGCCATATGAAAATGGACTAACACAACAGGGGTTATACATCACTTCCCCTTGAGACTTGAACTGAGTTACACCGGTTCACTGTCTGCAAGCTGGAGGCTTTCCTGGGCCTCCAGCTTGCAGACAGCAGATTGTAGAACTTCTCAGCCTGGGTAACTGGGTGAGCAAAGTCCCATAATAAATCTTCTCTTATGTTTCTCTATATGTCCTGTTGTTTCTGTTTCTCTGGAGAACCCTGACTAATGTAGTGTGTAAGGCACCCAGTCATAAGGGCAGACTATCCTTCCATTAATGACCTCATTCCAGGTATATCTGTACCCTAGACCACTCTTCTAGGAAAATTCTATTCCCTTCTTGTCTCTTCCATGTGGAAATCTCACAGACATCGCAACCCAACTCATCCAAATCAGATGGTAACCAGGGGTTTAATGTTAATAGGTGTTATCTGCTGCTGCTGGTCCGCCATTGTCCTAAGCATTTTATACACATTTTCTTATCCTAGAAAGCCCCTGTAAGATAGGTGTGCTAACAAGTCTCTTTTTGCAGCTGAAGAAATGGAGGTGCAACTGGCTCAAAGAACCTGGCTTCATTTAGAGAGTGCCTGGCATGAGACATGTGGAGAGCCCGGCCTGAGCCAACACTGAGGCTCCTGGACAGGAGGTGAGTAAGGAAGAAGGGGCAGGGAAAGAGGGACACCGGGGGAAAGGAGGTGGGTGTAGGAGGAAGGACATCACAACTGTGTTGAAAGTCCTAGCAACCTGACAGATGAGGGAAGAAGGCCCTGCAATGAACCTTGTGACCTTGGAAAGGACAAGTCCTCTTGCCCCTGGGGCCCATTGTCTGAGTCCCTAGGAAGTATATACACAAAGGGTTTCAGAATGCAGAGTTTGCAGATGTGGGCTGCAGCTGCACTCTCTGTGGGATTGGATGGAATTCACAGCTAGAAGTGGTTATGTCCCCGGCTGCTGAATGTATCAGCTGTTGGTGCCACTTTAGTTTTATTGAGTGGGAAGGATGTAGACCCTGAGTCTGGAGAATGGGACTGGGCTGGCTGTGGAACCTGGGGAAGAGAATGAGACCACACAAAACCTTTATTCCTTGTTCTTGGCTTCTTGTTAAACAGGCCCAATGCCACCGGATTAAGGAGGTGAGGGGGCGGTTGTAAGAAAGTAAGAGATCAGTCTGAAGATTATAAACATGGGCCTGTGCAACAAAGGGAAATTCTTGTGTCAATATTTTTCTGAGCCAGCACTTGGGAGATTCTGATTTCCTTAATAAAATGATAACAAACTTTTTTTGTGTTAATAATGTAAGTTGAACATTTCCTTCATGTTTAAGCCACTGACTGTACAATGAACAAAAGACATTTAGATACAGGCATACTTTGAGGATATGGCAGGTTGGGTTCCACGCCACTGCAATAAAGCAAATATCACCATAGAGTAATTTATACAATTTCTTTGGTTTTCCAGTGCATGTAAAAGTCATGTTTACATTATACTGTAGCCTAGTAAGTGTGCAATAACCACTCCTCATCTGTCTAAGAAATGTACATACCTCAATTAAAAGATATCTTATTGCTAAAAGATGCTAAAGGTCATCTGAACCTTTAGTGAGTGGTAATCTTTTTGCTGATGGAGAGTCCTGCCTCCATGTTGATGGCTGCTGACTGATCAGGGTGGTGGTTGCTGAAGCTTGGGGTGGCCGTGGCAATTTCTTAAAATGAGACAACAATGAAGTTTGACACATCAATTGACTCCTACTGTCATGAAAGATTTATTTGTAGCATGCAATACATTCGGGACAACATTTATTTGTAGCATGCAATACTGTTTGGAATAGCATTTTACCTCCAGAACTTCTCTCAAAAAATGGAATCAAGCCTCTCAAATGCTGCTGCTGCTTTATCAACTAAATGTATGGAATATTCTAAATCCTTTGTTGTCATTTCAACAATGTTCACAGTATCTTCACCAGGAGGAAATTCCATCTCAAGAAACCACTTCTTTGCTCACTCATAAGAAACTACTCCTCGTCTGTTCAAGTTTTAATATGAGATTGCAGCAGTTCAGTCACATCTTCAGGTTCCACTTCTCATTCTAGTTCTCTTGCTGTTTCCACCACATCTGCAGTTACTTCCTCCACCAAAGTCACAAACCCCACAAAGTCACCTATGAAGGTTGGAATCAATTTCTTCCAATCTTATGTTAATGTTGATATTTTGACCTCCTCCCATGAATCAATGTTTTTAATGACATATAGCATGGTGAATCCTTTCCAGAAGGTTTTCAGTTGACTTTGCCCACATCCATTAGAGGAATCACTGTTTATGGCAGCTATAGCCTTACAAAATGTATTTTTTAAATAATAAAACTTGGAAGTCAAAATTGTGCCTTGATTCATGGGCTGCAGAATGGATGTTGTATTAGCAGGCGTAAAAACAACATTCATCTCCTTGTACATCTCCCTCAGAGCTGATGGGTTGACCAGGTGTATTATCAGTGAAGAGTGCTATTTTTGAAAGGAATCTTTTCTTCTGAGCAACAGGTTTCAACAATGGGCTTAAACTATTCCACAAACCATACTGTAAATAGATACGCTATCATCCAGGCTCTGTTATTCCATTTTTAGAACACAGCCAGAGTATGTAATTCTTAAAAGCCCTAGGAGTTTTGGAATGAACATTGGCTCCAATTTAAAGTCACCAGGTGCATTAGGCCCTGATAAAAGAGTCAGCTTGTCCTTTGGAACCAGGCATTGACTTCTCCTCTCCGGCTATGAAAGTCCTAGATGGCATCTTCTTCCAATAGAAGGCTGTTTTGCCTACATTGAAAATCTGTTGTTTAGTGTGGTCACCTTCATCAATGATCTTAGCAAGATCTTCTGGATAAGTTCCTGTAGCTTCTATATCATCACTTGCTGCTTCACCTTTTTTTTTTTTTTTTTTTTTTTTTTTTTTGACGTTCTACTCTCGTTGCCCAGACTGGAGTGCAATGGTGTGATCTTGACTCACTGCAACCTCCACCTCCTGGGTACAAGCGATTCTCCTGTCTCAGCCTCCTAAGTAGCTGGGATCATAGGCGCCCACCAGTGCTCCTGGCTAATTTTTGGTATTTTTAGTAGAGACGGGGTTTCACCATGCCTGCTGGCCAGGCTGGTTTCAGACTCCTGACCTCAGGTGATCTGCTCGCCTTGGCCTCCCAAAGTGCTGGGATTACAGGCGTGAGCCACCGCACCTGGCCCACCTTGCATTTTTATGTGATGGGGACAGCTTTTTTCCCATAAGCCTCAAGAACCAACCTCTGCTAGCTTCAACCTTTTCTTCTGAGCTTCTTCACCTCTTTCAGCCTTCATTGTATTGAAGGGAGTTAGTGTCTTGCTCTGGATTAGGTTTTGGCTTAAGGCAGCATGGCTGGTTTGATCTTCTATTCAGATCACTTACACTTTCTCCATATCAGCAATAAGGCTATTTCACTTTCTTATTCATGTGTTCACTGGAGGACGACATTTAACTTCCTTCAAGAACTTTTCCTTTGCATTCACAAGTTGGCTGTTTGGTGCAATAGCAGCAGATGGCTTTCAGCCTGTCTTGGCTTTTGACATGCCTTTCACTAAGCTTGATCATTTTCAGCTTTTGATTTAAAGTGACAGATGTGCGACTCCTCCTTTCACTTGAACACGTAGAGCCCATTGTAGGGTTATTATGGACCTAATTTTAATATTGTTGTGTCTCAAGGAACAGTGAGGCTTGAGGAGAGGGAGAGAGATGGGAGAGCAGCCGGTCAGCAGAGCAGTCAGAACATACGAAACCTTTATCAATTAAATTTGCCGTCTTATATGGGCCTGGTACCACAAACAGTTATAATAGTAACATCAAAGATCACCGATTGTATGTCATATGTCACCATAACAGATATAACGATGAAAAAGTTGAAAATATTGTGAGAATTGCCAAAATTTAGCAGAGACAGGAAGCAGCACATGCTCTTGATACAATTGCTTGACACAGGGTTATCACAAACTTTCAATTTGTAAAAGATGCGATGTCTGGGAAGTGTGATGAAACAAGGTATGCCTTTAACTGACTTCAATTTTAGTAAATGACTTCATAAGGAAAAGGAAAAAATGTCATTGGGAGGGCACTGTGTTTGTTATAGACTAGCTAGGTCATCAACTGGGTGCTTTTGATGATACTAGCAGAGTCCTCCATGTGCTAGGACACTGTTTGAAATTCTGGTCATAGCTTTAAAATTCATAGTTTTATCAACTAAATCCCTATTAGTTACTGTAATTGAATATTCATGTTAGCTTCCACTAGTAGCAAGTTTTTGAGTCAAGATGGCCCTTGGGTTTTATTGCCAACCCTGGCAGCAGGATCCTAGACGGGGTCGCTTTGCTCTTGAAGCCTCTGATGTCCAGGAGCAAAGTGGGTATAATTGCTTCTCTCTCAGATCTGTGTTGAGGAGCTCAAGAAATAACATATGTGGAAGCACTCCGATCAATTACTTTTTTTTGTTTGTTTCTACCTTATCTAGTTTCCTAGGTCAAAAGTTTGCTTGGCTAATGGAAGAAAGGAGTCCCAACCTTTCCAAGTGGGACAGATTCCCTAGCTGTGCTCTGTATATTGAATCTGCTTCTTATCATTTGTCCGCGGTCTGTGTGAGTGCTGAAAAGGAGGAGATAATTTAATGCACTAGGGAAATGGAAACGACTCCTGCTTGGCAGGGACCAGGGTGGCAAGAGAATCCAGGATGTGGCCACGCACAGCTTAAAGACTACATTTCCCAGCTGCCTTTGCAGTGAATGCCATCAGTGAGACCTAATTGAGAGTATAGTGTGGGGAGTCTGGGAATGTTGCCTAAGAAAGGCTGATTTTGCTGGTGGTGCAACTCCCTTTTTGCCTCCCTCTTTCTCTCTTTCTGGAATGTGGATATGATGGCAGAACCACAGATGACCTTGAATGAGGAGGTCACATGCTGAGGATGGTGCAGCAGAAAGATGGAAGCTCAATCCCTGATGAACTTGTAGACCTACTGTGTTAGTCCTGGATTACTCACTTCCTGTCTTTTATGGAGAGAATAAACCATCCTCTTTTTAAGTTGCTCCTCCCTCTTTTTTGTGATCCCTTTTACTACTATAAACCAAACTTAATTCCTAATGAATAGATCTGCTAAATTGTTTATGTCAGAGATGACAACAGGAACACATCTGTTTACATTTTCCTTTCTCCTGAAGCCCCACCTAGTCCCAGAGGGTGGTGTGTTTCTTCACTGCTATTGTGGGCAGAAGCTACCTGGCTGTGGTGGTTAAAGTCAGCACTGCTGTTAGCCCTTGTGGGGCCTTTGTGCAAATTGAAAAAAGGCATTTCTATCCTAAGACACCTTCCTGTTCTCTGCCAGAAAAATGTCTCAATGCAAATTGACAATGTGTGGACAGGAATGGAACATGCCCTTGAGAAGCAGCCCCTGCACGGGATGCCACTGCTCAGCTTTGGGTCAATGTCCAGGCCAGTATCTGACCTTGAACTTCTCCCTAGGTCTTCCACCTTTACTTAGCACAGGCCTCAGAACAGCCCAGCCAGGGGTCGGGGAGAGAAAGTGGCTGAGACTGTGTGAGATGGGGATGGGGCATAAGACGGATGGGGTAAGTTTCTGGCTATTAACTGCTTTCACATGAGCAGCTCATTTCTGTGCCAACCATTTGACTAGTAACTTGGTAGAAGCCCTGCCTGTTGGTCACATTCTGGCCTGAGCTACAAGGCCACCTGGCAGGCTCAGGCTGCAGCATGGCAGGTTGTGTGCTGAGGGTCATCTACCCTAGTCCGTCCCCAGAGCTGTCTGTGCAGTCCTGAGCTCCCGTGTAAGCCAATGCTACTTTTGTGTGAAGAAGGTGGACGAAATCATCAGCAACTCTTGCTTATATAGAATATGACCTGAGCAATGAAAAGAGAAAACCCAGATCTTGGTTTTGTACTGGCTTGTGAGAAATCCTTATTTTCCTCTCTAGCAATTTCCCTACACCCATCCCTGCCTACCCACATTGGATTAAAGGGAAGAGAGAAAAACGCCCTAAGCCCCAGAAAGGTGAAAGGTGGCAGAAAGGGAAAGGTGGCAGAGCCATGATATTGCTGCTCTTGATTTTGTAAGACGGCCAACATCAGCCCATAGAAATCCGATCTGAAATAGAAGGAGCTCACCTGACTTCAAAATTTACCAAATTTGTCGTGAGGCAATCACTTACCCTAAAAAGTAATCAGGCTCTGTCATAGTTTACATTTTTGTGTGTGTGTCCTTT